GTCTTATTACTGGCTTAGCAAGGTAGTGGGGGTAGTAGCGCGTCAGTGCCCACGGATCGAACCCGAGTCGGTGGCACGGTGGTTAGGGCTCTCGCCGACCATGCCCATGGTCTGAGGTTCGATCCCCTGCCGACGCACACCTGATATCTATGGTCGGCCTGAAAAATTTGGGCTACTGATATCCATGCTGAAAATTCCATACATGTACGAAAAATACAGTCTGGAATCAAGCTGTAATCAAAAATAAAAAAAAATAACCAACCAAATGAGGTGTGAAGGTGGTTGGCGACCGCATTCTACCACTGCTGTGCCACCGACCCATATATTCCCATAGTAAGAGTAAATATATGTGAACTTCAGATGTATGCATGCGCCTCTTACTTCTCCGCCATTTAATATCAGGTGGCTACTAGAAATGACAACCGCTAAGGAAGTCTATCAGTCAACCAACCAACCAACCAAACAAGAATATCTGTTACCCATCAAATATACCCAGAGAGAATACAGATGGATCATCAGATTCACTCTGGTGGAAAGACCGATGCCATGTTTTGGTTTGACCGCCGATAGCTCGTTTCCAGCCAGACCCTATGTCACCTAACATTGCCCGTCGGTCGAGGAAGGCGGTGGCTAGGCCAGATATGCGTAACACATACCCTAACCATCTCAATCGGTGCAACTGCTTCACAACCTCGTCGACTGATTTCCCCTCCTTACCTAGCACTCGACGGATCCCTAACCTCAATATTGCTCACCCTATCATATTACTTGACGCACACGGGAGATAGAATACAGGCACCTATGATCAAAGACAGCTAGCCAACCTTTTCATGTCTTCCACTTTCAATGGCTATGTGTCAATCATAGACATAAAGGAGGACGGAGCGGACTGCTGAGCAGTACACACGCCATTTGGTCGATAACCAGCCGGATATCACGTCTACTAATCCAGAGATGGCGTAAGCTGGCAGGCATATGTCAAACGAGCCTTCTGTATCCGTGGTGAGATTTCACCAGTGATTAACCTGCTGGTGTTAGGTGATACAACTCTTGAAATAAGTGAAGCGGTCAACGCGCTCTGCTACTTTACTTTCTATTTCTAAGCTAGGAGTCAATGTCGTCCAGTCCTGTAGCCTCATCTTCTTACTCCATTATGGATAAGATTTTATTTTAATGAATCACACAGTGTTGTCGTACAGTAATATTAACTGATGACCACGTTTCGAGCACAAACTGTTACTGCTCATAATCATATCAAGTAACTCTATATTTGGTGGGAGCAAATCGTATGTCAAACATTCGAAGATTGCAGCTCAAGGTGTTCAGAAGACTTTGTATTTGCTGACATCAGTTAAAGAACCATTGGAAAACCACCACCACCACCACCACCACGGGGTACTGGACAACCAGCTGTTCTGTCCTAGTTTGAAACTCTTCAATGGTGCGCGCCTGCCACCAACCAAGTCTTCCGGTTACAAGGCGAGCTAGCTAGTAGACCATATTCATCAACTAGCCCAATTCACAACAATAGAGCGACTGTCACTAACCAATGTCATCGCTAGCAAGTATCTGTCTTCACACCCGTCTCTGGTGTACCTCTCTCTCCCTCTGGTTACGACTTCTCACTAGAACCCATGTAGGTGGTAACTACCTACCTGAATAGGACCAGTCGCTAGTGAGCATCTCATTGATAATCAAGTGTTGGTTTGCAAGGATTTGATTTGATTGGTTAAAGGAGTTCATCATCAGCTGAGTAGTTAATAAACACACATTAGACACATCATTAGATCTTCACTTCAACTACAAACCGAAAAGTATACTATCAGTCGATCAATCAATCATTCTGCAATTACTAGTGTTCTCTGTGCTGATTGGTTAGTTGGTTTAGTTGTGGAGCTTTCGTCATCCCACCCCTCACTGCTGGACAACATCCCCTTTCAGCGTAATATTTAGTTAGCATAAAGTGAAATGATTTAAATTTCTTAATGAGTGAGTGATATAATTGCGTCTCCTGGTGACCAACCATCTTTACATATGTACTGACCATTTCCTACTGACTTGGATTTTAAACTTTCTGGTCACATGTGATTTACTTTTTGATGTCACACAGCATTTTATACGGCAAGAGTAAACAATAGACACCAAAGTTAAGTGACACTGATTTGACCAATCAGATAGTTCAGCATTACACAAATGGTTCCTAGTCATAATTCTCTTTGTGAAAGTGTCTCCTAGATTAGGTTTTTGACTTCTCTGTGTAGATAATGTGCTGAAAGGGAGGAATAAAACATACAGGTGTGGAGCGATAATAACTCTGGAAAAGTATTGCCGCCGGGCTATTGGTGGTTATACATTCAAATGCAACCACTTTATATGAGGAAGTCTGTGTAAGTTGGTAAGTCGTACATATAACTGGTGATTTTTTGGACACTTTCTTCTCGAAATCAAGCCTCCCCCCCTAGTAATATATTGCGTATATGCAGCCATTAATCTGCTACAGCTGGAGAAATAGAGAATACATTGGTTTGATATGTCTATAACCACTTCTGTAAGAATCTGGGGCCAGGTTTTGCAGCTTATTAGAGATATATACCCTATATGATTCATTTTTATTACATATATATCGTAGATACACTTCTTTGTAAATTAAGTTTGCCACTTTTTACCTAAAAGAATCTGATTGGCTATTTCAAAGTTGTCTGAAGTTGGTGTGTAACACCAGAAGACAAGGGCCAGGAAACAGATCGTTTATTAAGGAAATCAGCACGTATTCATATATATTTCACGTACATTATTATAGATTACTCAAACAGACAAACACAGTCTTCTAATTGGTTGTTTCTTGCTCAAGGTTATTCTCTACTGCTTGTGACTGGTTTTTCAGAAAGTTAAGTCATATACCTGCGAATCGTATTTGCCCACGTTAAGTCAGCTATGATTGGTTGTTGAATCAGTCTTGTTCATATTTTCTCACGGCCAATATTAGCGACCTAGAGATTGACGTAAATTAATGTCTAGCAATTGTCTAGGAGCCTGCTCTCACCACAGGTGTCTATTCTTTACTGTTGCCTTATATACTTCAATTAGTCCAAAACTAGCAACAGAAACTATGCAACAATTACGCCATAGTGATGAAAACATTAAAACGCAATGTTCAACTTGGATAGAACCCATCAAAAATTATGCCTTACAACAACATACTTCCAATTCAATACTCAAAAATATGGACAGATAAAAGGAACAGACCAATGGGATCATCGCCCATATCAGGATTAATAGCTGAACCCATCATGCAAAGATTAAAATTAACAGCTGTACCAACTATAATTAAACCGAAAATCTGGACAGGTACGTTACGTTGATGATACATTTGTAATAATTAAGAGAAATGTGATTTAGAATATACTCATAAATTAATAAACAACATATTTGAAGACATCAAATTCACCACGAGAGAAGAAGAATTAGATAACGAAATCCCATTCCTCTTAGGTATCTTAATCAGGAGGGGAACTAACACAGGAAATTTTGAAATACAAGTGTATAGGATATCAACGCACACACACATAGATCAAATACTCAACCATACTAGCAACAATCCAATTACTCACTCACAAAAGAAACTGTGTGCAGACATTGTTTAGAACAGTTCAAACACATTGTAGCACACCAGAGTTAAAACGAGTGGAAGAAAAATACCTACAAACGGTCTTCAAGAAGAAGAAGAAGAATGGTTATCCCCACGACAATTTCATCAAAAAGTGTTTAAAATAGAATCACAACACCAACAAGAAACCATCACCAAAGACCACAAGAAAAAGATTCATCCTACCATACATGAAAAATATCTCTGAAATAACAACAGCTAGAATACTGAAACCGTTTGATATAGACATAGCCAGCACACAAGCCAGCCAGCCAGTCAAATCGCTTAATTCGATATTATGCAAACCGAAAGACACATCGAACAGAAAAAGGAGAAAAAACGAGATTAATACCATTTACAAAATAAATTGCATGTATGAACTGTAACAGGCATTACATCGGTGGTTGAAGTGGGCATCCGTCCCCTTCGAATCAGAATCCAGGAACACAAATCAACTGTGAAAAGACACGATATGTATTCCTGTTTCATATCAATGCGTATAGACAATTATAGACATCAATTTGATCATTCGGATAATGTCGAAATCTTAGACAGAGGAAACACCACGAGAAGTGCAGTCAGGGAATTCCTAGAAGCGAAGCCTGGTACTCAAACGAATATTTTTTTTGTTTACAGCTTGATTCCACACTGTATTTTTAATACAAGTATGGAATTTTCAGCATGGATATCTGTAGCCCAAATTTTTCAGGCCGACCAGTTGCTATCAAGTGTCCGTCGGCAGGGGATCGAACTTCGGACCATGTGTATGATTAGCGAAAGTCCCAACCACTGTGCCACCGACGCGACAATTTACAAACATGTTAATATAGACCAAATATACCGCCAACTAATAAAAAGTAAATCAGGTGACCGGAAAGTTTAAAATCCAAGTCGATAGAAAATGTTCAATACATATGTAAAGATGGTTGGTCACCAGGAGACGCAATTCTATCAACACTCATGGAAAATTTGAATCATTTCACTTCATGCTAAAAATTGCGCTGGAAGAGGATGTTTTCCAGGCGGCGCGGGGGGGGGGAGGAGACAACGAAAGCTCCGCACCTAAACCTGTGGTGAGAGCAGGCTGCTAGCCAATTGGTAAACATTAATTTACGTCAATGTCTAGGTCACTAATATTGGCCGTGAGAAAATATGAACAAGACTGATTCAACAACCCATCACAGCTGACTTAACGTGGGCAAATAAGATTCGCAGATATATGGCCTAACTTTCTGAGAAACCAGTCACAAGCAGTAGAGAATAACCTTGAGCAAGAAACAACCAATTAGAAGACTGTGTTTGTCTGTTTGAATAATTTATAATAAAGTGCATGAAATATATATAAATACGTGCTGATTTCCTTAATAAACGATCTGTTTCCTGGCCCTTGTCTTCTGTTTTTACAAACCAACCAGCTCAGAGAACACTATTAATAGGAAATAATCCCCACCTGAGCTACAAATCTTTTCTATTAAATCAATCATTCTATGTATCAATAACTCATCACTTCTCACTATAATTGTAATACAAGAAATAACATTTATATTTGCATAAATATATATATGTTTATATATATAGTAGTATAAAGATGGACAGAAAATATCAAAAAGAAAGTTGGGTTGCAGAGGGGTGGTCCGGATGAGAGCAGGCAACAATATTATAATCATTTTGAGTATAATCTTTTACACACATGAGTATTAATGTTATTTTTTGTGTTTGTGGTGGTGGTTGGGGGGTTTCTCGGCGATGCTTTCATCTACAGCAGAGTAAAAGGCGATATTTCCGCCAAGGATTAGAAAAAACTAGTACACACAATACAGAAGTGATGAAGAGTTGTCAATTTGTTTTTCTCTTTTTTTTGTATTTGTCTTGAGGATAGATAAATCATTTGTGTGTGTGTGTGCACGCGTTTCTCTCTCTCCATCTCCCTCTCTGAGATCCTGAGAGTAACACAACATCAGAACAAAATCACTTACCTCAGTTAATCGGTTGGTTAGTTAGTCAGTGAGCTGGTTAGGCACTTTTGTAGATTATTCAAGATAGATTATAACTTGCACTGACGGATGGAAAGGGGGGGTGGCGGGCCGGCGAGCGGGTGGTCGGTCGGTAGAAATCAGTGACATCGATGATATATATATCTGAGATCATGATTTTATGAAGATGAACAATACAAAATGAGAAGGAGAGAGAAATACAACAACAGGATGAGGGAGTAAACTCTCTCGAGTGAAAAAGTATTCCAGTTAGTTGATGGGATATACACATACACACATATATATATATGTTTATAATTGTGGATAGATAATATCGTGAATTGTCTAGTCCATAGGAAAGACGGCATCATCTTCTTCTCTAGTACTAATACTACCACCAGTAGCTGGCAACATATGATGCTCAGTAACATTTGTTACAGTTGTATTCACTTGTGCTGATGAAATATTATTATTATTAACAGTAATATTAGTATTAGTACTATTCGTAGTAATAGTAATCGAAGTGACTCCACTGCCAACAGTCATTGTCTCATCAATTGCCATTAAACTGCTAACAGGATAAGCACAATGACTGGTTTCAGCATAATGAACATGATGTTGTTGCTGGTGTTGCTGATGGTGATATTGAGGAGGAGGAGTAGTCGACGTTGATTGTTTGGCAATAATCTGTGGACTAGGTCTTCTAAAATAATAATGAAAAAACCAACAGTAAAAAAAAACACACGAGGAGATCAGAACAGAACAGACAATTACTATCATTGATATAAGAACAAAACTTGTCCACTGTGGTAGAGTGTTATTCCACCATTATGGGAAAATTTTGCAAGCTTCACCCTACTGGTAACGACACTTCTGACTAGAACCTACCTGAATAGGGCCAGTCGCCAGTGAGCATCTCATTGATATTCAAGTGTTCATTTGTAGGGATTTGATTGGTTTACAGGATTTCATCATGAGCTGACATTAATTAGAGAACCATTGGAAAACCTGTAAGTACTGGACAGTTGTTTCGTCCTAGTTTAAGGCTCTTCAGCAGTACGCACCCACCGGGATTCGAACCCAAGACCTTCTGGCTACATTGACTAGGGGTCGTGCTGTGTCGTGAATTGGCAGAAGTTAGAATTCATGGGGCATTGGATCGGGTCCCAGTGGCTTAATGGCATACGAGCTCGTCTTGTAACCAGAAGGTCCTAGGGTTCGAACCCTGGTGGTGGGTGCGTACTAATGAAGAGTCCCAAACTAAGACGAAACAGCTGTCCAGTACTCCCTTGTGGTTTTCCAGTGGTTCTCTAACTAATGCCAGCTCATGATGAAATCCTGTAAATTTTGTTTTGATAAAGTCTCACAGTGTTTGTTATACAGTAATGTTTACTGATGACTACGTTCCGAGCACAATTTATTACTACTGCTCATAATCATATCAAGGTACTCACACGACTTCCTAACTTCATTTATATAGTTCCATTATTTTTCACTTGATTTGATTGGCAGCAGTATTTTCCATATTTCGGATATGAATGATGAATCATTCCTATTGCATGGGTGTTGGGTGTAGACTCGATGAATCAGGCAGGATTCAGTAATCAACCTCTCTCTATCTCCACCTATCTAGATTACTTTTCAGAATTTTAACCCTCTCCCACACACCCTATTGTATGGTTGTGTGTTAATGCAAGCAGTGCAATGCACTGCTGAGCTATTTTCTAAATTACTTATCTTCTCGGGGTCAACCATTCTTACCTTAGCTAAATTCTTATGTTCTGATAATCTGACTACCTCTGGCCTACTAGTTTGACCTATGTAGTTGACTTAACTCACAGTCATTGCAGGGTATTTTGTAAATTATATTATTTTGTCTAATTCGATCAACCTACAGGATCCTTGAACCTATAAAGCTTGTCCTAGCTGAGTGAGTTTGTAGGTTTGAGTGCCACCACCCTAATTCCTGCTTTTCTGATAGGAAGCAGTACACCGTCTACAATGGAAAGTCCTCCACTACCTCACTTACTTTAGCTGGTGTTCCTCAAGGTACTGTTATTTCTCCCTTTCTGTTCTCGTTTTTCTTACATGACTTGCCCCATTCTGATGTAGCCACCTTTGTTAAGTATGCTGATTACCTCTCTGTTTCTATGCCTGTCAACCAACTCTGAGTCAGATTGTTCCAAATTAAATAACTTTTTGTCAGAAATTAGTCAGTGGTCCTCTTCAAACAATCTTAAGCTGAATCCGTCTAAATGTCAGATAGTCAATTTCACTTTCAGACGTAAACGCGACCTACAACAACTAGCCAGCTCACATGGCCCCACTATCATTGACGGTATAGAGGTTGAAATTACATCTAATGTCAAGTACCTTGGACTGATTTTTTCCACCAATCTTTCCTGGTCCTCTCACATCTTCCTAGTTACTAGAAAGATGTTTCGCTTAGTGTTCTACGTTAGTAAGTTAAGGCAGTCTGGTATAAAACAGTCTTTGCTTCCTTAGTTTGTCAATTCTTGTATTCTACCCATCGCCCTTTACTGCTCCTCATTAATCTTTCCTGGACTACTTAAGAAAGACTTTGCTTTGCTGAGAAAGCAGTTAGTAGGGCAAGTGGGATATCGTTAAACCAACCGGTTAACACTATTGTGGATAGACATATAATGTCCTGTAAGAAACTAGCGAATACAATATTGTCAGACCCCTAGCATCCTCTCTATATACGCAGCTGTCTCCTTGCATTCCATCTGGTAGAACTAGAAGTGTAACAACAGAAGACAAGGGCCAGGCAACAGATCGTTTTATTATGAAAATCAACACGTATTTATACATCTTTCAACTACATTATTATAGACAAGCGCAGTCATCTGATTGGTTGTTTAGGTAGACAAACGCAGGCTTCTGATTGGTTGTTTCGGGATTCCTTGACAAATAGAGTTCTCTCTGCGAATCATATTCTGCCACGTTAACTTTGCTGTGATTGGTTGTTGACTCAGGCTTGTTCATATTTTCTCACGGCCCATATTAGTGACCTAGACCTTAACGTAGATTAGTGCCAACCAATCGGCTAGCAGCCTGCTCTCACCACACTCGTCCCCCCGTCAAATACGTGCGAAGGAAGTCGGCTTGATCTACTTGGTGCAGGCGTCATCGTTGGCTTGTCTCGCTGTATCCATTTCTGGAGCTCGCTGACGTTCACGCGCCTCTCATTGTTCGCCATTGCGACTGTGTCTGCGTAACCCCATCTCGAAGTGACCATATATGGTCCTTCCCACTTTGGAAACTGTTTGCCTGACCCTGTCGAACATTCGTCCATACTTCGGCCCACACCTTCATATGCTGCTTTCGCCCGACCTCCCAGCAGCGTCTCAAGTAGCAGCTCCATCGCTGACAGATTTTGAACGCCACTCAACTGCGCAGAAGCCTTGAAGTCCTGCCCGAAGATCCATATGTCTCCATCAAAAACTGCAGGGTATAGGCTTTTCATTTGTCGGTAGGCAGCGACACCAAATGTAACAACAGAAGACAAGGGCCAGGCAACAGATCGTTTTATTATGAAAATCAACACGTATTTATACATCTTTAAACTACATTATTATAGACAAGCGCAGTCATCTGATTGGTTGTTTAGGTAGACAAACGCAGGCTTCTGATTGGTTGTTTCGGGATTCCTTGACAAATAGAGTTCTCTCTGCGAATCATATTCTGCCACGTTAACTTTGCTGTGATTGGTTGTTGACTCAGGCTTGTTCATATTTTCTCACGGCCCATATTAGTGACCTAGACCTTAACGTAGATTAGTGCCAACCAATCGGCTAGCAGCCTGCTCTCACCACAGAAGCAGCTATAGGAGGCTGACTATATGCTAGGACTATCAAATACAAAATCTCCACAATACCATATCTGGCACAGCTGTTATGAGATGAGAAATCTGTTAGGTATGACACAATCAACTTACTGCGGCACTCTAACAAATGGTCCCGTTAGTTTTTGTTTTCCTTTCCTCGTTACTATTACACTGTTGTTCACATCTATTACACGCACTAATTTTATATTTCATATCCTGTGGTGCATTGTGTGAAATGTAAACGCAACGCTGTTGTTTTTTATTTTTTTATTTATCTTTTTTGGGTGTTGCTTTTTGATTTTAAAATCTTATAAAATTTATGCGGGCAATTAGACGCAATATATTGTAATGCACGCTGAAAATTCCATACATGTACCACAAATACTGTTTGGAATAAAGCTGTTATTATTATTATCACTTTGTGACGTAATCATAATTTAAACTAATTACTTGTTATAAAAATTGTACAACATAACGAAGAAATCAATACATCAATGGAAATAACTAACACACTACCAAACAAACAAGCGCACAATTTAGTGAAATTTCACATGAAACCTGTGTAAATTATTAAAGTGCTTAATTTGATTCCACGTATTATTTTGCCAGTTCGTGTGCCAGTCAAGTGACCAGTCAGAACTCGGCTGGTGTCAACTGATTCATTCAGTTCCTCTGATCTGAGTCAAAATGGCTTCACCGGTAATGAACTCGGTCACAAATGTGTGTGTGTGTGTGTGTGGAACGGACATCCGATGGTGTGTTTAGACCACTTCGATTTGGCTAACTAGCTAGTTCGCTAGCAAGCACTATTAAATTTGATATTTTTTAAAATTTTGTATTTCTCATTACAGCTTGATTCCACACCGTACTTTTTTTGGTACAGGTATGGAATTTTCAGCGTGTGATATATCGGTAGCCCAAATTTTGCAGGCTAACCATAGATATCAGGTGTGTGCGTCAGCAGGGGATCGGACGTCGGACCATGTGCATGGTTGGTGAGAGTCCTAACCACTGTGCCAACGACGCCCAATAAAATGAGTAAGCCTCTAGGATGTTGTATTACTACACCGCCACCCCCCCCAATTAACGGCAGTCTCCACACGTGGTGACAGTGATCCTAGAAACCATTGGATTGACCTTAAAACTTCTTACCGTGTAGATCGAGTAAAATAGGGCAAGTAAATACAGATCATCATCAAACCTCGCCTTATTTACTAGTTCCCCAGTTTGTTAACCGGTTCTGAAGTGGAAATAACAGGGAAAGTTGGGCGACAGGCTAGCAACCCTACCTCCAGAAACTTTAAAGCACACAAATGGAGATGAATCAAACATCATGCGACAAGCCCTCGAGTGATACCCCGCAATAGGAAACGACGAGTTGGGAGTTACTCCAAGGGTGACATGGAGAAAATCGTGTGTGTGTGTGAAGGAGATGAGAGCTCATATAGCCAGTCGTGAAATCAGTTGAAGAGAACTATAGAGAACAAAATGATATGACGATGAACTTCTGAAGCCTCATGTTCCACCCAGAACCCGACGAAATGTAGTTTCCTGACCAAGTCAGCCATTTTTTACAGTGATCATGTAGTACATTATTATATTATTACTATTTCCTTTAATTCCTGGAGGAACATAGGGCTTCAGCCCCGCGTCTCCATTGCCTTCGGTTCTCTGCCACCGTTTTCACCTGGCTCCAAGTCTGCAACCCACATGCTTTCATCTCCTCTTCACATCACCTCCTTCCTCCAAGTCACCCTCACATTGACGACCAACTCCCCGCTTCCCTTTCGGCCAGGTTCCACTCGAGCAATGTCTTGTCTAGTGATGTCACTTGATGGTTTGTTTCCTCAGAGTAT